ATAATTTGTTAGTTTTTCATATGTATTAAATTAGGGAGTTATTTCATTTCGTTTAGGTTTTCTTAATTTTTAAATTAGGGAGTTTAATCATAGGGAGTTATTTCATGACGCCGCCATTGCCAAGTGTTGAAAATATATGGTAGAGGAGATTGAACCAGCGCGACCGGCGTGTCCGCGACATACGCTGCAGGTGCTCTCTATATTGCATTTAAAATAAAAGAAATCAAATAAATTTTAATTATAAAAAAATTTAAATGAGCAACAACACCATAATGGTTTTATTTCATTCCTTACATGGAAATAAAGCCGTATGGCCTTATCTCTTATTTCATTGAGATATAAGGCCATATGACTTTATTGCCTATGGCTTTATAACACTGCACCCTATATTACATTATCAAATAAATAATATTCACAGTCAATTATTAGAAAGCACACATTTTACATCATAATCTTTAAACTCCAAATAAAACACCATGGTCTTGAAATAATTCATCAATATTTTTTATTTTTGTTTCTGTTTTGTTTGACAGAAAAAAAGTTTCAAGAAAAATTTAAAATTTTCATCAACTAGAAAACATAACTGGAATAAGAGTTGAATTCTAATTAAAATTCAAGCCCCTGAATTTGTAATATTTGAGTGCATATTGGGTACCTATTGTTTTTAGAAAAAATTATATATTATAAAATTCAGGCAACCAAATCCGTTATTATTATCATACCGACTAAATAGCGTTTAAAATTGAATATCGGTTTTGATACCGATACCGAAATCATTTTATCGATATAAATACCGGTATTCAAATACCGTTTACCCTTATACCAGTATCATACCGATACAATACCGTTATTATAACGGTATCAATACCAATGTTATCAATGTTAGTCCTATTGGTTAGTAGCTTAGACACATCTTTCAACAAGATGGTCAAGAACTAAATATGTTAATTATACAACAAACTTCCCAGCAAAATGTTACATGACAAAAGATGTAGTGTGATGATGAATTGGTTCGATTCAGATTTTAACATTAGCGTGTCATTGGCGATCATGTGTTTATACGAGTATTTCGAATAATCGAACCAATGCAAATGCGATGATTCGAAAATGTTGTTTCATTGGTTCAAGCTATTTGGTTTGTATGGATTTTTGGAAGATATATTGAACATTATTAAGAAAAATATGTACATATATATTATAATAAATATGGAAAAATATTAATATAATAATCAAAATTATTTCTAATAACACATAAATATCACATATTTGAACTAATTTTCGAAGTTTTAATGAAATTTACCTACTGCGGAATAGATTGAATTTAAGAAGGCATTTAAAATTAGTTGTGTTAGCACTATTGTTGAAAAAAGTCATGAAAATTACATTCGCTTTGCACTACTGCAAATTTTTTTGGTGTGTTGATATATTTTGCAAAAGTTACTCTAAAGTATCTGAAATTTTTTTTGGAAAATTTTTTATTTCTTTATGATTTTTAGATTGAAATATACGTGTATATAAATTTGTAGAGTCCGACCGAACTTAAAATTTCGTTCGGTACCGAACACCGAACCCGAACTTCGGTAAATTTGAAAGTTCGGCCGAACCCGAACTTTGTACAAACTTGTAACAATTTTAAAATATCATATGATTAAATACCGTCAAAATATTTCATCATGATATTTTTTTATTTATCATAATATTGTTATATTATATTATATATTATGATCCAATGTGATCAAAATTTCGTTTTAAATATGTATCGAAATCAAAATGAATTTTATCGGATCAGTAAAATTAGTTTTTAAAAAAATAAAAAATATATATACAATACTTAACACAATTCGCAAATTTCAATTTGCCAATTTATATGAAATTTTGGTTCATAAAAAAATTTAAGCATAATTTCATAAAAATACTAGTATTTTTAAGCCTGTTATGAACGTTAGTAATTTTCTAAAGCGAACATTATATGGAGGCCATGTCCAAATGTAAACCGATGTTGTCCATTTTGAATACCAATCAAACTGCAACAATAGTTTAGGTCCTATCGTTCTTTCAAGAGACTGACTGACTGACAGACATGTCTAGATGGTTCGAGAATAAGAATCTAGAAAATTTCGATGTTACAAATGAAATCAAAGATTTATAATCGAAACTAGATAATTCAAATTAAATGTTTCACTTTTCTTAGCTTTTTAATCAGTTTCTGGTTAACAGTTTTTCAAATCAGGCGAAAAAACGAACGGTTAAAAAGGCGTTTGGATGTATGATAACTTCTGTAAAAAGATTTTCAGCATTTTTAAAACTTTTTGATGATATAAAAATATGATAAAAAAAAACATTTTATAAAAAGTTCGGCGTTCGGTGTTCGGTCAAAATTTCGCCGAACCTTACTTTTTACCGAACTCCGAACCCGTACCCGAACGTTCGGTCGGACACTATAAATTTGTCATAAGTAAAGGCATGAAAAATTGCACCCATTTCACTCATGTAGAAACTGTAATATTTCACTATAGTGAAAATAATCCATGCTTAACTTAACGAAAAACAATTTCGTAACTACTTTTTTCGTAATATATACGAAAATTTCGTGTATAATACGAAATATTGTTTAATCAAGCCCTTTTCTAATTTTACGAAAGTACGAAGACCTGTCGTAATATCTTTTTTCGTATATATTAAGAAACTTTGTTTTCTTTTACAAAAATAATTTCATTAAGGCATGTAATATTAACGAAAGTAACGATTTTTTTTCGTAAAAAAATTATTTAGTAATATACAAGAATTATTTTTGATTTCACAAAAAAAATTATTTTGTTACGATTTTTTTTTTTATTTTCGTAATTTTAAGCGAGTTAAATTAAACGTAATTTTAAATTTAGGAAATTAGCTGCCTAATTTTCTGTAAAATTTTTTATGTTTTTTTAAAAAGCATAAAAAATTTGTTTTTTTAATTCGCAATCTTTTTCTAAATTACAAATAATTATTGTAAATTTAGAAAAAGAAATTACGAAAATAAAAAAAAATCGTAACAAAATAATTTTATTTGTGAAATCAAAAATAATTCTTGTATATTACTAAATAATTTTTTTACGAAAAAAATTCGTTACTTTCGTTAATATTACATGCCTTAATGAAATTATTTTTGTAAAAGAAAATAAAGTTTCTTAATATATACGAAAAAAGATATTACGACAGGTTTTCGTACTTTCGTAAAATTAGAAAAGGGGTTGATTTAACAATATTTCATATTATACACGAAATTTTCGTATATATTACGAAAAAAGTAGTTACGAATTTTTTTTCGTAAAGTTAAGAATGGACTATTTTCACTATAGTGAAATATTACAGTTTCTATAGTAGAGTTACATGAGTGAAATGGGTGCAATTTTTCATGCCTTTACTTATGACAAATTTATAGTGTCCGACCGAACGTTCGGGTACGGGATCGGTAAAAAGTAAGGTTCGGTCAATGTTCGGTGTTCGGCGAAATTTTGACCGAACGCCGAACCTTTTATAAAATGTTTTTTTTTTATCATATTTTTATATCATCAAAAAAGTTTTAAAAATACTGAAAATCTGTTTACAGAAGTTATCATACATCCTGGCTGTACAATAAACTTCGGATATACATAGGTACCAAACGTCTTTTTAACCGTTCGTTTTTTCGGCTGATTTGAAAAACTGTTAACCAGAAACTGATTAAAAAGCTAAGAAAAGTGAAACATTTAATTTGAATTATCTATTTTCGATTATAAATCTTTGATTTCATTTGTAACATCGAAATTTTCTATGTTCTTATTCTCAAACCATCTAGACATGTCTGTCAGTCAGTCTCTTGAAAGAACGATAGGACCTAAACTATTGTTGCAGTTTGATTGGTATTCAAAATGGACAAAATCGGTTTACATTTGGACATGGCCTCCATATAATGTTCGCTTTAGAAAATTACTAACGTTCATAACAGGCTTAAAAATACTAGTATTTTTATGAAATTATACTTAAATTTTTTTATGAACCAACATTTCATATAAATTGGCAAATTGAAATTTGCGAATTGTGTTAAGTATTGTATATATAATTTTTATTTTTTAAAAACTAATTTTACTGATTCGATAAAATTCATTTTGATTTCGATACATATTTAAAACGAAATTTTGATCACATTGGATCATAATATCATGTATAACAATATTATGATAAATACAAAAATATCATGATGAAATATTTTGACGTTATTTAATCATATGATATTTTAAAATTGTTACAATAACGATAATATGTTTAGACTACAATCATTACTTTAATCATAACATGATGCTCTTACAGATAATTATATCATTGTTAATAAATCGTCTAAAAACCAAAAAAAAGTATTATTTTTCATTAAAAAAAGTTCGTGTTCACCGAACTTTGAAAACCGAACAAAGTTCGGGTTCGGTACCGAACGAAATTTTGAGTTCGGTCGGACTCTACAAATTTATATACACGTATATTTCAATCTAAAAATCATAAAAAAATAAAAAATTTTCCAAAGAAAATTTCAGATACTTTAGAGTAACTTTTGCAAAATATATCAACACACCAAAAAAATTTGCAGTAGTGCAAAGCGAATGTAATTTTCATGACTTTTTTCAACAATAGTGCTAACACAACTAATTTTAAATGCCTTCTTAAATTCAATCTATTCCGCAGTAGGTAAATTTCATTAAAACTTCGAAAATTAGTTCAAATATGTGATATTTATGTGTTATTAGAAATAATTTTGATTATTATATTAATATTTTTCCATATTTATTATAATATATACATATTTTTCTTAATAATGTTCAATATATCTTCCAAAAATCCATACAAACCAAATAGCTTGAACCAATGAAACAACATTTTCGAATCATCGCATTTGCATTGGTTCGATTATTCGAAATACTCGTATAAACACATGATCAATGACACGCTAATGTTAAAATCTGAATCGAACCAATTCATCATCACACTACATCTTTGTCATGTAACATCAATAAATATTAACAAAAATCTAATAATTATTTTTAATATTTATTTGTATAAAAATCGCGTTTGAAGTTGTTTAAGAAGAAGGGATATTTTCATGATTTCTTTTGTACATATTCTATTTAATGCGTTTTAAATACATGCCTAAATTCTAATAAATTTGTCATAAGTGAAGGCATGAAAAAATGTACCTAATTCACTCACGTAACTCCACTATAGGGATTGTTGTTGTTGTTGTAGCAGCGACACGTGTAAAGTCGGTGTGGCTGGGTTGACAATCCTTGGTCGTTGTTCGTTGAACTCCGAGTCGTTCCGGTGCGAAGAACCGATTGTCGTGGGAACGACTATAGGGATTGTAATATAATTTGGTATTCTCTTAGAATTTAACGAAAACTTGCATTTTATACAATAAATATTAAATATAACATTATTTTTTTATTAGATTTTTGTTAAAATTATCAAAAAATTAATTTTAATATATATAATTAAATCGAAATATGTACAATTTTTAATTCATTTTTAAATAAATACAGTGCATTAATGAAAATTCGCTTGAGAACATCGAATGTTCATTGGTTGTAAGCACTCATTTTAATACCGAACTAATTTTTCACATATGAACCCGTGCACCCCAGTGACACGCTAATGTTGAAATCATGCATGAATGATCATGAAATCTATTTAAAACCCCAGCAAAAAAAAAAAAAAAATTGCAGTAGTGCAAAGTGAAAGCTTGTTTCATGACTTTAATAACAGTGCTAATACAACTCGTTCTAAATGCCTAAATTCAACCTATTCCGCAGTTAAAAAATTCATTTAAAACTTCAAAAATTATAATTACTAGACTAGAACACTAAACTACCGGATTGTTGTCTAACTAAAAAAAATCGGCTCAAAATTACGCCCGGGCCAAGATATGACAAAATGTTTAAATTTTAATTTTCAAATTGCACTTCAAAACGCCGAACAGCATCTCTAAGGGATTTGAGTCAGGAGATTTTGATGGACAATCAAAGAATCTGGGTCTTATTGCTTAGGTTTTAAACAATACTGTATATAATATGGTATATTTTAAAAATTTCAACTGAAATACAAACTTATTGTTTACAAACCGGTTAATAAACAGGTTTTTCGCAAACCGTTTTTTTTAAACATTGGTTTTCGGTTAACCGAATTACCCGGTTTTTAAGTCTGGGTTAACCAGTTTCAAAAAAATCTACTTTTTAGTACAAAATTGTATGTTTTCTTTGATTTTTTATTGTGATTTTTAAAAATTTTGGATAGATAATTCTAAACATTATTTTCCGTTTGTGCATATGAAAACAGACCTAAGATTGCTAAACAAATGTTAGGAAATGTTAAACATATATTATGTATATAAAATGGAGATTTACAATTTCAGACAATCAGGAAATTAGTAAGAAGTTGGCATTTAAACCAATTAACAAATTAAATTAAACAAATTATATATTATATAATGTATATATATTATGTATATAAAATGGAGATTTACAATTTCAGACAATCAGGAAATTAGTAAAAAGTTGGCATTTAAACCAATAAAAAATTAAATTAAACAAATTCCAATCATTATAACTTTGATGATATAATGCAGGATGCACTTACTTGTTTACTGCGTGAGTATAATAAAAATCGAGGATATTCTCAAACGTTCTCAAAATGGACTTTATTTATCGAAACATAAGGGTTGTTGTCGCTGTCCGAGAATTTATGCTGCTGAATACTATTTATACTTGATTGTCCTGGACATACAATTTTTTATTGATATAGATGCATTATATATTCAAAGGTCAATTTATCCCTCCTATGGCAACTTCCATATACCTAACAAATCAACAATATCTTCAGATCTGTATAAGTTTGTTTTCTTATGATACATTAATGTACATATCTATACTAAAAAGTGCAAATATCTTATTAAGTAATTCATAATATTTCGCAAAATGACATTTTTCAACTAAATATTATAATATTTTAAAAATTTCCAAACATTTAGGTTAACCGGTTTTTTATACTTGGTTAACCGACAAATCGGTTTTCTAGAAATGGTAAATTTTCGGTTAACCGATAAACCGGTTTTTCCAAAAGTCGGTTATTTATAAACACTATACAAACTCCTTAATTACTCCAATGTCAAATATTATCCTGATCGGAACACCCGTTTCGAAATGCCAGAATAATTTCCAAAAATGTGACTATGCCCCACTGAGCATGAAGAACATATTATAGTTCTCTGCGAAATCACATGAAAAGATGATTTTATTCATGATGTTAGCATATTGGGTGCATTACCATACATACCGTCGGAAAGGTTAATTTGTCTATTTTCTCACTATAGGTTTTATAATGACTCACACATAAATAAGAATGCATCCCACTATGACAAAAAAGCTCTTAAAGGAAAAGATCTAATCTTTCTTTCGAGCCTAAAATAGAGAAAGAAAAGACGAAACCACTATTTTTTGCAAATGTTTTTTTTATCTTACATGATTTTTGTAATAGCAAATTATCGTTCTAAACTGATAACTTAAACGATATATTATGCTTGCGAAAATAAAAATTTATTTAAAGGAAAACAATATGTTGATTTCTATGAGTCAAGTCTTTTTCATCAAATATTTGATAGGTGTGAACGTACCTTTAAGATACGTTACATAGATAAGAAGAAACATCTACTATTGTATGTTTGGCAAAAAATTTCAAACTGTGACCCACTGTAACTCACAAAGTTCTTGACCGATCTTGTTGAAAAATTGTGTCCAAACTACTATCCAATAGGAGGCAGTAAAATTCCATCCCGATCGATAGACATCGGTTTCAAAAGTTGGGTGACTTAGCATGAAATCCCCATATGTATAATGCTAGTGGGTTTTCCTATGAAAAAGTAAATATGAAAGGTAAAGATTTGTTTTATTTATATTGCCTTTAGCGTAGCAAAGCACACTGGGTATAGCTAGTTTTTAATAAAATGGAATATTTGAGTAAAGGTTTATAAATATTTACAATAATCAATCGCTATGAGCAAATTTATATGAAAATTTACAGAAACAAGCTAATATTTAAACATGTAGATTGATATATTTTTCTATTATTTCTTTTGGAGAGTCTGAGTAACGACTTTTACATAGAAAGCAAATATGCAAACGTGACAAACCTTTTTATTTTTAATAACATTTCCGCATTTTTCTTTTGGATAATATAAATGTAATGACATTTCTGGATACAATTTGTTTTTCTGCATAATTTTGGAGTGAAAATTAGTTTTTAATAATAATGTTTATAAATATATTTAAGTTTTAGTTGAATTTGATCGAGCTGATGCCTAGAATGTAATTGGCTCATGAGGAACAGTGCATTCTCCAACTGTTACCCGGTACATTGCCATCTCTGAAATACCATGATAATGTACAAACGCAGCAGCAATAACCAAAATATGGAAAAGTTGGTGAGATTGAAACTAAAATTAAAAAACATTATGCAGTTTATAATGTTTAAATAATTTAATTATTATATCAACGTACCCACAAGTCGAATTTACCAGGAAACCATCGTTCCGGTACACGCAAAGCGTACAATAGTGCTCCTAGAATGTAAAGAAATCCTAAAAAAATAATAAATAATTAAATAAAATTATTTTGACAAAATAACAAATTAGTAATACCCATTAAAAGCAGCCAGCCCAGACTAGACTTGCTTATTTGAGTAAACCACCCTTCCATGGCACCATAGTGTATGGCTGGTATAATACCAGAAAGGCCAAAGCTCATAAAAACGCCTGCTCTTAGAGGTCGCAGAGCTGGTTCCGAAAACTTGTCCCACAAGGAAACAATTATCGATAAACTTCCCAGTACACATACAACTGATAGATAAATGACTTTTGGTTGATAGTGACAGTAAAATCCATAGTAAAGCCAAGGTACAAATGAACCCATTATAAGTAATGCTATTCCACAATAATCCAATCTGAGAAATAATACATAAACTATTATTACAATTTACTTATCGTCACCTCAATATAAAAAAGACGTATCTAACATTTATATTTCCAAAAAAATGCTTCAATTTTTTAGTATAATTCCATGAAATGCATTATTTTCAACTTATTCTTTTGTGTCAAATAAAAATTGATTTTAAACTGAATTTTTCTATCATCGAAACCCTCGATTTTAATATCCAATTTACACTACATCGAAATATAACATTTATGAGTTTTTGAGCCGAATCTAGTTGGTTTTAAATAGATTTCCCATACAAAACAAAATCTACAGCGTAAGTAGATTTCGGGAAAATCTACTCAAAACCTAATAGTTTTTGCTATGCAACTAGTTTTGTTGAATGGCAATATTATATATCAGGGACCGAAAATAATAATTATTTTTGAATTTTTAAATAAAACAAGTATATTCGGCTGTGTCGAATCTCATATACATACCATCAAACCGTATGCCGTAAAAGGAATGCTCCCCTATAAACATAAGGGTGATATTGGGAATATGGGTTAAGTTTATTATGGACCGATCTATTTTGAACTAACTAATATTAATTTTTAGAAACAAAAAATTTTTGTTCAATTTTTGAACCGTGAGCGTATGAGTAATTTTCTGAAGAGGAACTTATATGCGTTAATTATGAACCGATACTCATAAAATTTTTTACATAGATTTTGTTTTGTATTTTCATCGCTATACTCGATTTTTAAATCAGGAAAAGTCGTATTTTAATAACCAAACCTCTTTCCTGAAGGGAACCTTTTATATGGGCTAAGGTCAGTTATAGATCAGTCATCATTAAATTCGGAATGAAGAATTATGTTCTTAAGTATAAACTTTTTCATGTCGATTTTCATCGCTGTACTAGTAATTTTCTGAATCCTCCTCATCAAGTTTTCTGAAGAGGACCTTATATGAGGTGTACGGTCAATTATTGACCTATCATAACTTTTTGTAGACCGATTTTGCTTCATATAAAACTTATTTATATTGCATATCATCGCCGTACTCGCATTTTTATGCCAGTAATTAGCGTTAAAGGTTATTTCTGAAGGAGGATTATATGGGGGGTTGGGAGTGTTACCGACACATTCCGCATGAAATTCGGTAACAAGATTAACGTTCGTATAAAAGTTTCTTATGTCGAATTTTATTACCGTATTTCATAACTCGCGTTTTTAAGCCAGCAATGATCGTTTAAGTAATTTTCTGAAAGGAACCTTATATGGGGGTAGGATCAATTATGAACCGATCCACATATAATTTGGTAAAGAGTTTTTGGCTCGTGAGGAACTTACTTGTGTCAGATTTTATCGCTATACTCGTATTTTTTTAACCAGTAATGAGCGTTAAAGTAATTTTCTGAAGGGACCTTTTTATGGTCGGAAGTCTCAATTTTTGACCGATCCTTCTTTGGCTCGCATAAAACTTATCTGTGTTGAATTTCGTCACTATATTCATATTTTTAAGCCAATAATGAGCGTTATAATCATTTTCAGAAGGGGACCTTATATGGGGGGTTGGGTCACTTATGGGCCGATCTTAAAAAAATTGGTAGAGAGGTTTTGGCTCGTAAGAAACTTACGTGTGTCGTTCATCGCTTTATTCGTATTTTTAAGCCAGTAATGAGCGTTAAAGTCATTTTTGAAGGGGGTAGGGTCAATTATGGACGCTCGTACATCAAATCCGAAGAAATACACCTAGCCCTCTACCACTCCTGTTGTGCGCTCCTTAACCAGTGCCTCAGGTGCGCTCCTTAACCTCCGGTCGACCAGACTAGAACACTAACCTACCGGAGGCTAAATTTTAAGAAAATGTCATGGTTTTTAATTTTTTTGGATTTTTATTTTTTTAGCAGAAAAAAAGTTACCTTTTTGACTTAAAATTTTTTAACAAAACAAAAAGTTATTTTTTGACTAAGCATATGCGAAATCGAGCATTAAATGTAAGCGGTTTAGATTTGAAGAAAGATTTCAAACGAAATCTGCCATAATTCGATGTAGTGTAAATGGGGTATTAATTAGATTTCTTTTAAATGTTATACTGCATTAACACAGTCATGTTTCTAACGTATTTTTTGAGAATGATGATGAATCTACCCAGATGCACATTTAATATTTGAAAAATTTGGATAATTCGTTAAATTCTACGAGTATTGCCCGAATATAAATTTTAAAAATAAATTTTAATAAAATTATTATACTCCGATTTATAGTGAAATCAATATTGCAAAAAATAATACTATATGACGGTTTTAGACGTTATTTGCATCTACGTGTGACCGTGCTCGACAGCATTTACGTCAACATGTTAAA